AACCAGTGAGTGCTTGCCATTATTATATTTCTCAGCGTGCATTTGAGTATGTGTTGTGTGGTTATGTAATTTTTGCCATTGAATTGGATGTTGCAGGTCAAGCAGATTTGCCAGATTACAAAGGATTCAATGCGCAATTGCGGGAAAGAATCTGTACATGCGATTTGTGTGTAGCACTGGTGATGCAATGGGAATGAACATGGTGTCCAAAGGTGTACAAAATGTTCTTGATTACCTCCAGAATGAATATCCCGACATGGATGTCATCGGCATATCTGGTATTCCACCTACCGTTTAGTTTTTCATTAAAGATATCCCACGTATTTTACACCCACTGCTAGCTTAATTATACCACTTCATATGATTATAGTAAATTAAATCCATGAAAAAAGCTGTATATTCACTGCATGAAACACGTAATACACTTTATTTTTCTGCTGTGCATGGTCTCTGTTGAATGCTAATGGAATTTATCAGAAGTCTCTGGTTATTGTAAATGTGTGTTTCCCACGGGTGGAAAATGTTTTCTTATCTAGCGTAATTTAGTAAATATTGTCTCCAAAGAAAACGTTTTTTTCTTTCTGAAAAACATTTTCCACCAAAAAGGAAAAATAATGTTTCCATACAGGTATCTTAACTCTTATTTATATGGAGTAACTTGTTTCAATAAAAACTTGACATTATTGTGATCTTCAATACCTAAGAATATCACCAAAATATTTTACCCGCTTTTGTTCCCACCGAAATGGAGATATTTGTCTAATTAAAGTTATCTATAACTGTGACAGGGAACTTTTGCTCGGACAAGAAGCCAGCAGCAGTTAACTGGATTGAGGGGAGAGGAAAGTCTGTAGTTTGTGAGGCAATTATCACGGAAGAGGTGGTGAAGAAAGTTCTGAAAACTGAGGTTGCTGCTCTTGTGGAGCTGAACATGCTTAAAAATCTTACTGGCTCTGCCATGGCTGGTGCGCTTGGTGGTTTCAATGCCCACGCCAGCAATATCGTTTCAGCTGTGTTTATAGCAACTGGTCAGGACCCAGCTCAGAACATAGAGAGCTCTCATTGTATCACTATGATGGAGGCTGTAAATGATGGCAAGGACCTCCATGTTTCTGTTACAATGCCTTCCATTGAGGTATGTGATTAATATTTTCTTAATACAAATTTCTGATTCTGTCCTCGTCCTTCTTTCTAAATCATCAAAGCTAATGAGTTTTATGCAAAAGAGAAAACATTACAGAGGTCCATACATGTGAACAGTCCTCAGTTCAATTTAAAGTGTTACTCTGGAATCTTTCAATTTCTTGTTATATTTATTGTGTATTTAATGGGATACAGGTTGGTACTGTTGGAGGTGGAACTCAGCTTGCTTCTCAGTCAGCTTGCTTGAACTTATTGGGAGTGAAAGGTGCCAACAGAGAGGCACCAGGGTCAAATGCAAGACTCTTGGCCACAATAGTAGCTGGTTCTGTTCTTGCTGGGGAGCTATCCCTCATGTCAGCTATCTCAGCTGGGCAGCTGGTTAAGAGCCACATGAAATACAATAGATCTACCAAAGATGTCACAAAGGCATCCTCCTAATCAGGGGAAGACAATCCAATTCCCCGCCTTGTATTTGAAGCTGTACACAGGTGCTCCAACAAGTAGCTTCCACTTAAGAATGATCAAGAGTAGTATTAAATAAAATTTACAAAGCAAAACCTATAATAGAAGTCAGAAGACGAATAACGCCAACTTCTTATTTTTGGTGAAGTCATGTGAAGGTGGTAGGGTCTCTTTTCCTCATAGTTAGGGTAAAGAAACCTGAAAATGTATTGTGAAGATCCGCTGGGGGAAGTTAGCTGGGCTGTCTGTTGTCTCAGTGATTCTTGACGCCATTTGTTAGCTGCCAACACTTGGTATCTTTCAATGTGCCATAGGGGGAATATCCTTTTCATTTCTGTTGTATTGTTCGTTTGTTTGTCAATTTGTCATTTATTTGTAATTTCTGCTGGGGTTGTCTGGATCTGATCAGAAAGTGTGATCTTGTATATGAAAATAAATTTCTTTTATTCAAATGAACTGTTGCGGCTTTGTTGAAGTGTTTGTTCATGCACGGATGCACCCATTTACTTAGAACATATTTTCTGCAGCATACATGTATGTGCTTAAAGGCGTTCAGAATACATAGATCTCAAGATTAACTTAAAACCATTTTAATTAAGGGTTGTAGATCAAGATTAACACAACACTGGCCAACTAAGGATGAAAGAAAAGTTCATTTGCGCTACTTGTCTATATCTGCATTTCATGTACATTGTCAAAGTTGAAAGTGGAACTTAATTTGCAAATGCACAGAATAGGGAACTTCTACTCTTGAGATGAACAAAATGACATGTCTATTGGGCTGAAGTGCTAATCTGTGTAGAGAATACCAGTTTACAGCCAATACAACAACCTGATCTTCTATAGCTTAACATGAATGACACATAGACTGAGCATACTGTTTTCTGTATATTCTCAACGATGGAAGTCATAAGATTAAACATGTAATTAATAGTCATGTTATTTTATAGTTAGCCCCTTATATAGCCATGTCAGCACGGGGTGTCTGCGAGACACACTTGTGCCAACAAGAGGTGTCTATCTAATCACTTGGATATATAGTTAGTGTTTCTTAATGATTGAAGTCAGAAGATTAAACTTGTAATAGTCATGATATTTATATGTCGTCTAGCAAAATCTAATGCATATTTTGACGGAATCCTCTATAGGTTATAAGTTACTAATATGTAATATACTTTGATGTAATGGATTGTGATATGCCTCTGCATGCAGAATATGAATAGTAGGCTTGTGGCCATAATTTAGGAGAAATAGCACGGCTCTTATGGTTTGTCAAGAGTTGCAATTCACCGAGCTATCAATATGATGTTACTGATTGTCAGACATTATTGAGCTCTAAAATCTAATATGGCCTCAAGTATTTGATCTCGGTTATAGGAATAATAACAGTATTATTAGGAGCTACTTTAGCTCTTGCTCAAAAAGACATTAAGAGAGGTTTAGCCTATTCCACAATGTCTCAATTGGGTTATATCTTTTTAATTACAATATGAAAAATGATTCTGGTTACTGTCTTTCCAGGCAATGATTCTGGTTACTGTCTTTTTAATTACAATAGTATGACAAATCTAAATGGCCTCAAGTCATGATAAGCTTTGGTTACTGTCTTTCCAGGCAATGAGAAAATAGGGAATGTAAGGTGGTAGGGCATGCAATTTGGAATAAATGATTCTCAAGATTCAATTAAAAATATGAAAATGACGCATGTAGCCAAATATTAGGCAGAAAATAATCATTTCATGACAAAGAAGCATTCCACTTTTGTTTGTAGTGCCAGTTGCTGAAATTGAAAGTTGACTTGAAGATTAGAGCCAAATTCGCAACAAATACTGAATTATTGGTAGAGAATTTCGGTCTGCCACCACCCTTGATTATTAATTATTATTTGGTTCAATTCCGATAAGCGTTTCTAAAGATAAATTAGAGAAACATAATACACAAAAAGAAACAAGAATGCGCCGTCTGTGGGGATCGAACCCACGACCACGTGGTTAAAAGCCACGCGCTCTACCGCTGAGCTAAGACGGCCTACGGAATCTATTTTGTCCTTTTTTAGCAATAAGAAGGACTGAAGATCTGTACCGCTATCATATTCCTGCCAAATTTCTCTCGGGGAAAAACATAATTAGTCAATATTAAGAAAAAAATTCAGAATCTTAGCTGGAGTAAGTAATCAACAAAATTGATAGTAGCTAATTAACTACATTCCTAACAGAAACATACAGCAACAACATACCCAGTAAAATCCCATTAGCGGGGTCTAGGAGGATAGGATGTACCTTATCCCAAAAAGATAAAAAGGCTGTTTCCGGGAGATCTTCGGCTCAACATACATTCCTAACAGAAACATAATCAATTAATTATTGGACCTCTCAGTCCTTTGCTTATTTTAAGTGGAGTCCTAAAAATACTAAAAGGTAATTAATGTGATAAGTTACTGCATTTAGCTGATTTATAGGGAACAAGGTTGCAAATCGTTAGACCACATTATTGTTCATTTCCTATTACCTTTTTTTTATTTTATTATTTTTCCTTTTTGATTTTCCCCTTTTAATTTATCCTTTTTAAATGAAGAAAACAATTATTTTGAAATATGGGAACGTGATGGGAGGTTTTCTTTACATGTTTATTTTTTGTTGTATTTGATTCCTTTTATACTCCTAAAAATAATAAGTACTATATTTATATAGCATATAATAGTTGTATAACTAATATATATAATATTTGGAGTATATTCTAGTTGTATAAATGTTATTTATATTAGACAATTTTCGTATTATTGTTATTATATATTATATAAAATGTATATAATTGATATATACATATTATATATAACTATTTTGATATGCATAGTGATATATGATGTATTTTGGGTAGAATTTATTTTATGATTTAGTCTGCCATATATATATATA